GTACCCCCCCCCCCTCCCCCCCAACGCTGCACCATTGCACCAACCCCCCACTAGTGATGACGTACCATTACAATGTATCGCTGGTTTGTGGCCATGTTTGCGTGTTTGCTTGTCCGTTAGTTGTCTCTACACCGTGCCTTCTTCTCTTATTTCTTGTTATTTTCGGCCTGGTCCCTTCTTGTCCTCGCTCTTTTTCATTTTGATTTCTCTTTGCTTACTGTTTCCTTTTGTTTTCTTCTCTTTTTCTCTGTTTTTTTTTCTTTCTTGTCTCGCTTTCTGCGCCAGATGGCCTTGTCACTGCTTGCGTTGTGAAGTACCAACATTGAACTAAGGGGGTGTACCTCTTTCTCTCCCGCCCGTGATGGTGACCCCTAGTCTCAGTTGTTTCCTCGCATAGCGCGCGGAGGGAGTGGAGGACTCCAGAATAGCTGTCGTTGATTTGTACTGACTTGCGGACCCCTCGGGGCCAGTTAGTTTGAGTGTACCTTTTCAGGGTATGTTGCCTGCGACCACATGAATCGACCGCGTCGAGTGTTGGGTCAATACGGACATACGAAGGTACTGGTTAGAGAGAGATCGGAACGGTTTTTAATTGTGAAGACAACAACAACAACTACAACCCCTTCGCTACTATTCATCCTCATTTTGCGTGTGTACTGCCGTATGCGTTTTTTTTCTGTTTTTTTCGCAGTGAAAATGATGTAGTGGGGACCGCGAAGTATCCAGTGTTCGTGGCGGACTCTTCAGAGACTACCCTCTCGGACAACTTCTTCTTGGGCTCCGGCGCGTTCTCGTGAGTGCTGCTGCGTGCATGCCCTTGCCTAACCTTTTTGTGTAAAACTGCTCCGGCTTGTATGGCAGGCCGGATGGCCTCGTGCGCCTCTTGGCTGCCCTCGACCTTGACAGTAGTTGGGGTTCGCCCATAAGGAGGTAGTGATGCAGCTGATAACGGCCGACTCATCATGTTTTCGTATGTTGGGTAAGTTAGCCTGCGACCGCGGGAATCGACCCCGTCAAGTGTCAGACTAGTACGGACACAAGAAGGTACTGGGCAGAGCGAACGGAACGGTTTTGAATGTGAAAACAACAACAACAACAACAACAACAACGGCATAATTGGGCAGCCGCCTTATTCAATGTGCAGAGCAGCTTTGGTTTTGCCAGCCAAGTTCGCCCGCCTTGTCTGTAGGGCGACACCGCCTTCCTCGGGGATTCCCACTGTACAGGAACACAAAGATGTCAACACCTCAAACTACTTCAAAGCAGGGCGACCTGTTGCCGTCGTTTTCATCGCATGTACGCAATTTTTTTGTTTGTTTTTCCAACATTGTTTTGCTCCTTGACTCCCTCCTGGGCATTGTTTCGCAAAGATTGCGCCCTCGTGATGAAGGTGCGGCATCGGGGCATTCGAAATTGACGACAAAGTAGGCAGGGCTTTCTCTCTACCCCATTTATTTATCTCACAGCAACTAAGAGATATGATGCTAGAGGTTTGAGATGTACCGGTCACCAAGTGTCACCACCGAGGCGGCGTATGTGTGTATCAGCCTACTTACGGGTATGAAAGGGTTTGGGGTAGGGTTCGTCGGAAGCTTACCCCCCGGGTTGGGTAGTTGTTTGTCGCTCCTGATTGCGTCCATTGTCTCGAGGCTCATGCAGCGGTGCAGAGAGACACCGGAGCGTGCAGAAATCGCCACCCGTAAAATCGTAGGATCAAACGCTTTCTCTACTGTGCTTGTGAAAGGGGACAGGAAGACGCACATCACCCCCTGACACACACACAATGGTTGGGAGCCTTGCATGTTTTATGGAAGTTGGCAAGGTCAAATAATTCTCTCGTGCGTTTAATCCTGGGGTTCGCAAATATGAAGTGTCTTGATAGCGCGCTGACGAGCACTCGTCTGCAGGGTTCACCGATGCGTTCTTGTTGTTGAAACTCTCTCTTTTTGGTTCGCGACGCGCCTTGACTGCTTGCTGTTGCCTTGACCTTCTGCGATGCGATGATCTCGGCTGACTCCTCACTCCTTCCTCCTTCCTCCCCCCCATACCTCATGCCTTCTCCCCCCC